AACCGAAGCTTTTCTATGGTGCGATATTTCATTCAAATCGAATTTTCTAAGGCATTGAACTTGAAAGTAACGGAGAAATAATTTCATATTAAATGTCTGGTTAATCTCGTTGTCTCTGTAAATGTAAATACGACATTTTATTTTCCAAGTAGCATACAAAGACTGATGTAGTGAAATTAATCTAGCTTTGAGCTACGCGGGCAGAGCTCTATGCCGTTCTTAAACGAAAGCCGTATTACAAAAGGATTAAAACTCCGTAGTGCACATCCTATTAAAAACAAGGGAGAGGGATTGAATCTCCAATGTTTTCCGTATTACAGCTAACCATAAAGAAAAAAGCATGCTCGGTTAGACTAAATAACGTTTTGAAAAGCTATAATAATTTCTATCATATCCATTCTGTTTTGTTATATATTAGTTTCAAACTCTCCAAATTGATTGTCTTAAAAGCAAATAGGAGAATCTAAGTAATAGTCATTATCGTAGGCTTGTAATACGTTGTCCAAAATTATCTAGTTAAACACTATTTGCAAAGGTTTTGTTTGTAGAGTCCTATATTTAATTACATAAAGTCTTAATTACAATTAATTCGTTAACAAAAGTTAACCTGTAATGAGCGAATGAGCTGAATAATAATACGTACGAGTCTGTAAGATTGTGTAGGAAATCAATGAACATATGAAGGTAATGAAAAACCCAAGCATAATTTCTATAATATATATATATATATCATTCACTCCAAATACAATGCATAGGTATGTAGAAATTATGCTTGGGTTTTTCATTACCTTCATATGTTCATTGATTTCCTACACAATCTTACAGACTCGTACGTATTATTATTCACCTCATTCGCTCATTACAGGTCAGGTCATAAGTCTGAGATTATAGTTATAAATATTTATATAGACAGACAAGGAATCACTTAACATCAGGTGAACAAGTGAGAGCAATAATCATTAGCAAAGCTCGTCAACACCCACGCTTGCAGACTGTTCGCCTTCCCACGATTTTCTTGTTTTATAAGAGGCATTTATAAAGGTACGATGGGATCAACGGTTCATACCTTTCCAGGATTATTTGTGCTTTTATGTATTTAAATTATATCATACACGATATAAATATAGTATATGAAAATTTTGTTTTATTAAGGATATAAAAATCAAATTGTTTCGTGTTTAATTAATTTGTATAGTGTATTTTTTTGTTTTTTTTCCTTTAACGGTGGCAACTTTATGTGGACACGTTTCCTGAATAACGGACAACTGAATTCTTATCTTATCTTTGCAAGTACACAGTTTTATGTTATGTTGTGCAATAAACATTAAATACACGCTGTAAATGGTAAATAGAATTTATAGTCATGTATAACGTACTTGTATATTTTTGTATGACATATATTTATTATAATTATAAATTTTTCATTTGATTCAAATAATGTGGAGATTAATAAAAGAAATGAATGATACTAATGTCATTAAAAAAATATTACCTAAAGGTTTCTTTCCGAAAGTATTAAAAGATTCGTTATAATTTCTTTTAAAGACAACAGACTACAGAAAATAGGGATTGCCCGAAATTCTCTTTCAATCTTATTCAATTAGAAAGAAAGCCGCTGTAATGCCCACGTATTTTCAACAGAAAAGAAATAAATAAAACCCAATGTATAGACTTACTGGCGACCGATACTTAGAATAAAATCTTCTAATCGAAAAGAAAAAGAAAAATATTACAATGAATTTGAACAACGTAAGCTAATGTAACTTTTACAGATTGAAAGAAATCCTTCCCACTACGCTACACGTTTTCTCCATTATATTATAGTAGCTTAATGCTTCTGAAAGCCAAGGGTGGCAAATGGTATTGCTAAGACGTAATTCCGACACAGCTTGGTTAAAGCAGTGAATAATTGATCCGGTATCGGTTCTATGGTTTAATTCATAGATTAATGTTAGTCGTAATGGTACTTCTATGATTGAATCAGGAATGTTTTTATTTTAGAAGGTATGTACATCGACTGCTGTTGCCTCTACAGTTGGGCTTGATTAAGATAATTTTTATCATCGTGTAAACATTTCTAATGAATTAACTATTACAAGTTATTAAGAACCACTTGCAATGTTGAAAGTAAAAAGCCTCGTTTACAAGTAGGTACTTATGTATACAAAAGGTAGCAAAGCAACTCACGCGTCGCGTCTGGTTCGCTCGTCCCAAAATTTGTCCCAGAATGTGGATCTGTTTTTAATTCTGAGCACGCTGGTGCTGAGGGTTCGAGGTAGTGTACCGCCACTGCTGCTGGCCGACACACCGGTCGACATGCTGTGTTCCGAAGCCGAGCTCTTCGCAATGAACGTTGCGCCCCCGCCGGCGCACAGCCGGTCCGACTGCGAGCCCGAGCGCTTCATTGTCATCTCACCAAGCGCCTAGCTACGCACTACATTATTTGACCCGATGAAACGAGCAATTGACTGATCTCCTGGATTCCCGCACTATTATCAGATAACGCTCCCTATACCATCTCCCCATCTGATGTAGCCGTTTAATTCAATACCACCTAACAAGGTTACGCGAGCGAACTTGATTTGGGTGTGAATTATTTTTATTTAATTAATGACCGAACTATGAGATAATAATGTACGAGAGCTTATGCATTTATCACACGCGCGTTATAGGCGCTGGAGCAACTAGTGTTCTGAATGCATCGATAAAAACACAAGCTTACAATCGATAGTACATATGTAGTTTACAACCGAGTAAATAAATATTTAAGCCGCGTCGACACTAAGATTCTATCGGAACATGGGCTAGAGCTAGTGAACGACCTCGGTGGTCCGTCTTCACACGTAATGTACGTTTGTTATATTAGTATTGATACAATCCCGCACTGCGTATCGTAAGGGATCTCGGCGTGCGTGATCTCGCGTTAGGAAAGTGCGGGGCTTATTTGTGCCCGCTCGAAGATCGAAGGGCGTCCGTACGTTCGGTAGCGTGCCGCCGACGCGGCTGGCGGACTCTCAATGAGGAGGACCGGCGGCGAGGAACGGCGCGGGGAGGAACCGGGGACGGAGAGGGGGTACGTCGCACTCGCCCGGCGCGCGGCTCCGCCCGAGGATAAATTTGGCGCTTATGGAAACTGGCGGTGGGCGCCGGTAATCAATGTTCGACGTGGAAATCGAGGGTCGCGCGAGCATTATCCTACGCGACTCGGTTCCAGGTGAAAGTGTCGCCGAATATTAGCTAGATCCTAGTATTGTTTTGACTAGTATAACTGAATTTCCTGCATCGATCCGTGACGTTTACTGTGAGATTGCACGTCGCTCTACGTGACATAAAGGGAATGTTTTGTCTTAAATACGTATAAAGGATTTCATTGAATAAACAAATTAATTAAAGTGTTTTATTCATGTATAACTTAACGATATTAAAGAATATATAGTCGCAATATCAAACAACTTTTTATTACAAATGATTTTGTATAAAAGTTAACTATTTCTTCAATTATTCGTGATTAGATTGATTGAAAAATCTAAAGAAGGAAAGACAGTCGGAGAGCCCGAATTGATTTAATGGACGTCGGTCCTAGGTAAACTGTAATGGGTTAATTCAATTTCGCTTTCACGTAATCCTTTGAAGATGTTTATTTTGTCTCTACAATGTGTTCATATTGTTTAACTAAGATAGAAGACCAGTACAAGCACCATAATTATAATAATTAAAGTGATTAATAAAAAGAGATTAGCAAAAAATATCGTACTCTGGATATACTTTGTTATGAATTAAAAAAACAGTGAATATAATTTAATTAACAAGAAGAATTACGTTCCTTTTGTAATAGAAATATCTTTCTCTTGTCACGTAACATGGGCGTGGTGTGCTTTAGTTACAAGAAGGCTGTAGTCGGCTTATGTTGATTACTGTCTGCTGAACTCTCACAATAAAATAGAGAAAATATCCTATTTGAGAACCTAAAGCCGACTACAGTTACATTACTTAAAACATGTTTTCGATTACTAACAATTTTCAATTTAATCGTAGCAAACAGTTTGTTTGCTAAAATACTGCCTCTTAAAGGCAAACTGTACTAAAACAATTGCTGTGTGAAATATAAGTATTAGCTTATATACACTAAAGAAAAGTCATGTATAATTAATATATATATTTTTGTATATTAATATTCAATTACTTTTATTTGATTTGTTAATAGTTTTAAAATAAAGGATTTACTTGTCTGGCACATTCAAAGAACTTTTGATTGCTTTATGCAAGTATTTAATTTAATTAAAACTTAATACCTTGTCAAAAAGATATTTAAACTTTGAATAGATAAAAGACAGTAAAAACAAATTATATTCATAGACATAAATGTAGATGTATTAACGTGAAGTTATTATTATTGCAGACGTGCACAGAACAAAGGAAAATTCAAACGACAAGTTATGAAAAACCAACAGTAAATATTAGTGACTAGACGGCAAATGTACTTTTATTTACTATGAGAAATCCTTCCTTTAACTAGTTTTTATATTATTTATTAAGTTATTTAATTGTTTTAATAATTTGATATTTATAACCTATCAACACATGTAATATCCTTACAAGTTATAAAGAGAAAAACTGGCACTGATTGCTAACTACTGCTCTCTTTAAAATTTCTTTCACTGTAAAAAAATTGCTATCAGAAGGTATCTTAATATAGTTTAATTCTTTGTTTCTTCTTCTATTTACCCAAGCTAAGCTGGCCATGTTACTACTAAGGTAGAAGAGTGAATCTGATGATGGCTACACGTAATTTTTATGACAGTAAAGTAAAACCTGTAAAACTTACCTTTACACAAGTTTATATAGAGTTTGCTACATTAACACGGAAAGCATAAACGTGTTGAGGTAACGTAAAATATACATGGTAATAAAGGAGAAAGCATTAAGGGACAACGAGCGGAGCAGTATGTCTACACAAAGCCCATGCAATATGCTTGCATGCGTGTTATCCTAGTACATACGCTCTGTCCAGTTGTGCAGCCTCGGCCTCCTTGAATCTGCAAGCAATTAAAAAAATATGGAAAAGAAAGATAGAACGGAGGAAACAATTATTCTCACCTAAGCATTCGCAATAACGTTATAACCTAACATCCAACAAAACTGGTATGAACATATTATTGAATTCTGGCAGAAAGAAATATGAAGATTTCGAATACAAAAATCTCTTTTTCAGCTTAAGTTTGCAATATTATTCGTGATCAAAGACAAAGCGTACTATATAACATTGTTACCATTTCGTTGGATATAAGGCTTAATGCGGGGTTCGGCTTCACATCAATTTATATTGTGCTAGAGTAGTGTTTCGCAGGCTTTGTTGTGATAGTGGGAAATATAGCGTGGAGAGTTAGGTCGCATCGATGTCCAGCCGCTCACTTTACTCAGGACTACCACAATTACTCTCAGCATACACAAGACAACACAATTTAGGATTCATTCATCACATTGAACGCATGCTTACATCTCAATGTAGAGTGTGTGAGTAAGCTCTACTTAGATGTTAGTCGACACAACATTTATATGCAATATTTTATAACCAGCTTACTTTGTCCCTTCCAAATCGGTGTCTTGTAATGTGACCTGCTTGTTTTGGTGCGGCGTGTTTCTAACCATTGGTTTCTGAGATCAAAATCTCTGTATAAAACATATCGTCATCCTTATCATTATCTTTGACAAAACTGAGATAAGAATATGTTTTAATCGGAATTTCGATCTCAGAAACCCATGGTAAGTACAATTTCACTGTGTCTAAAATTGTGTACAACGTGGTATTTTGTTTTTAATAAGTAGTAACAATACTTCATATTTTACACGATCAAAGTGTATAAAAGTTATACGAAATTTCCATAAAAATATTAGATTGTTAATGAAAAGAACAACTTTATTGTGTAAATCTTCATTATCAACTTAAAGTATTATTAAAAAAATATATAATTCGTTTTTAATAGGAAACGTCATAATAGAACATAAAATGTCATTATTCTTGAATAAATAGTCATCTCGAATATGAAACGTTTGTCAGAATACAAACAATTCCAATATAATTATTCTAGCATATTCAAGAATGTTCTACAATGTTGATTGTATTTACGTTTATTGCAATTATTTTATACAGCAAAAGAGCATACTTAATTAAAACATCACGTTACGATGAATCATTTTAAAGACATTTAAGTAACCTTTAATTACTATGTTGTTTTTATCAGACAAAGTCGTTTAATTTAAAGTGAATAACGTACAAAAGTATTAGCAATATTTGTAATTTTGAATGAAACTATACGATTATTATAGAACCGTGATTTAATATTCAACACTTTTATTTGAACAAAACGAAGTGTGTATTCATTCTATTATCAACAACTGGTTAAGTTTTCGGCTTTATAGTAATTTGTAAGGATAATAGTAACGTTGAACTTATTATTTGGCAAGTTTCGTACGAATAATTATTATGATGCCGTAAATAGTGGAAATTCGATGAACTGGACTCATTATTGGATAATCCAAATAAACAAAAGAAAGTTGTATTCTGTCATGTGGTTCCATACTCAATATACATACAATTAGATTTTTGTTAAAAGATAACAAAAATCTTTTACCTTTCAATTAAAATGAAGGACAAAAAATTTAAATTTTTCTGCTCTGTGCTTAATGTTCAATAATTACTTGAAAAATTGTCCATATTGTTAAGGGATCGGAAAAGTTATAAAAGCTTTTTGAAAGTTATACGAACCGAGATTCTAATGCAATTCATTCGAAGTCGTTTAAAATTTAACACTTTTAAAATCTATTATAGTATCAAATCATTTTTTTAAAGTAAATTTAGGAAATATTTTTTTTCATATTCTATTAAGTAAAGAGTAGTTACGTTTATTTTGAAGTAATATCAATAAGAGAAGGTTAAATTTACATTATAATCAATTGCTGTATAATTTGGATAAGGACTTCTGAAAACTTAAGGTAAAATTATTACATTTTATTGTATACCTTTCATTGTTTTAGGAATAATGAAATTAACTCGGTTTATGTAAATTCCTATTAAATTACACTCACTAAAATAATTTTGCTACGAAGAACGAAATTCATATTAATATTTTTAAGATATTTTATTCGTTGTACCATCTTACTATTTAGCTTATACTATAATCTAGAATGAATACAAAATTATAAATCTTATTAACCATCAGTTTCGGCCACCAAAACACTTGAACAGAAACATATATTTATCCCTCTCAATGGCTTTGAAAATAAAAGAGACAGCAACATGTTGTAAAACAACTACAATAAAGTTTTATAGTTTTAGACTTTCCATTGTTAGAAGTGGCTAATTTATTTAACCCGAAAGTTGTATAAAGATTGAAAGATCACTATTGTTTTCAATATATCTGAACAGACAACAAAATACAAGTATAAGAAATATTTTGGACATAAGCATTTTCAATAAAGCCAATTCTTTTTTAATATGTATTGAACTTATTCATGTAATATTTCAGACATGACTGATCTGACATTTATGATTATACTATGTTATTTTCTAGACAGACAATATAATAAGATAAACAATCTTTAATACTTAGAAAGTATTAAAGATTGTTTATTGATCACTTGCTTATAAGATACAGATTTGAAGTCATTCTTTACCATCTACCATTTTGTAAAAATAACTAAGAAGTGCCTCTAAATAGCTTTGGCCTTATTGTAGCTTTCGCTTAAAAAAATGATTTAAATATTAATATAATTAGTATATAATTTACTTGTTATAAGTAAATATTTGCTAAATCGCTAAACAAACGTAAAATAGTTTTCCCAACTATTTTATTATTGTGTTTTAGTCCTGTTTTCAGTGCATGAAAAATGACATTAGAAGGGCTTTGAATTTCAATTTTAATTTCATGAAATCTTCTATTTATAGCTTTCGGGTGTATTAAGTTAGACGCCAAATACAGTGTATGTGTACAGTTGTATATAAATGTCATAAACGTTCAGCTGCAGTGTCGACCGGTCACCAATTCACTGAAAATTCAAGAGCTGAGTCGTGATCACTCGAGCTTTTACCGCGGAAAGTTTATTTAAAATTCCATATTAAGTATCAAAAATTATTTATCTGTATATTTCTTTATAGTAGAGCTTTACCTTATTGCTTAGTTGCAATTTATTTTAATTCGAGTTCTGCGATGTACATAACAAAAACATAATGCATTTTCTTTGACAAAACAATAGACGATTCGCTATTTCTGCTAAAGACTTTGTGTTGCACCTTGTGACACCAATGTCAATCTAAATTGTCAAATTACCAGCATGAATTTTTTTTTAATTAATCATATAACGATTTATGTGAATGTGTCAGGTTTAGTTCATAGTTTTGATCAGATGTAAACTTACAAGTTTATTTGTTAAGATAAACATAATGTGTTTTATGGAGGCAAGAATAAATTGTATGTGTCAGTATAATATTTAGGTTTAAATCTCGCTGTGCACTTACCTTTCGCTGGCGATGGAACTATTCCTGGACATCGACTTCGGCGACATCTCGAAGTCGGAGTCAGATCGGTAGAGAAAGGACTCGCGGCGCTGCGGCATTGCCTGCAGCACCAGTGCGGCGGAGGGGGAGCCCCCCTCCAGCGGGGAGCGCGCGCCCCCCGCGCCGCCTGCCGCCCCACCATTCTCGACGTCGAAGCTGAAACAAAACACAAAGGAATTAATCATATGGCATGGGAAAAACGACGTTGGAACCATTACCTCTAAGGGTACTTCAAGAAGAAACCCTACTTTAAGAAGATTTTCCTTATATACCAGTACCTCATAAGCAGTACATAACATCTGATATTGAAGATCTTCATGGAAATCAGCAATTTTAATTTAATAGACTTTTTGCAATATTATGTTTATTCATATAGAACTAAAGTAAAGATTCAAAAGTAGGTCAATCATAACTAACAGGATTTGCTCCTAACATTTTATAACAACTTAACTTAAAAAAAACTTATGACAAGCTTTCAAAAGTTGCGTCACCTGTTGTTTTCAGTAGTTGAAATTCGAAACAGTTTGATATTATATACCAACGAATATAAAGAAATAATATTTATTAATTTGGGTAATTGTAATAAAGATACTGTTTTTTTAAATATATTTCTTGCAGAAACTTATTTTCAATTGGATAATAACTTCAATGTTTTAAGTAACAAAGACATTTCGTAACAGATAAGAATTTATTGAAGAAACATTATCGATATCGATAGATAAGTATCTGTGCATTTTATCTTTTGCTACTGTATTAAATTGTTTATTTCTTCTTATGTACTTCGATCATAAAATTTTATCAAACACACAATTAGGTATCAGACAATCAGCAGCGTACATTTGTCAGTACGTATATATTTGGCACGTGTAAATAAAGAGGAAATTTTTGATTGTTTCTTTGCATTCAATAGGCTACGAAACTACAGAACCGATTTGAAAAATTTCACTATTCTCAAGTTACAATATCGGGGATGTCATAGGCTATATTTATTACTTGTCGTTTAAAATATTTTTTTAGATATAAGTTTGGCTTCATTTTTAAAATTATTGATTTTCGTAGTTTCAATTTGATTTTATAACTATCGTCTATCACTACACTTATGAAGATAAAAAACTGGCCACGTGGATATCCACGATATGGATATTCACAGTATGGATATTAAAACTAATACTTGTTTTTTTTTTGCTTCCTCGTACATACGTTTGTTATTCTAATACATTATTAAAACTATCCATTTTATATGAAAATATTAAAACTACATGTTTAAATTAAATGTTTTCAGGAGGAGGTGACAGCGACATCTATTTTCATGAACACATTAATATCAGTCTCACAAATCCGTGAAACGTTTCAACGACAACTTAACGTTCGTTGCTGCCACAAGAGGTCGCTGTTTCTAAGTATTTCGTAGCATTTCAATAAAAATTATAAATATACTGCAATAATTAAGAATTCATGTATTATGTATATTGTTTATTACTAATAAATATTATATATTTATTAGCTTATATTTAAATTACACATTTATTTTGCTAGCTAAACAAAGACAACTTACTAACTATTTAATAACCCTCTATGGTGGGCGATATCGATTTTATACGTAAATAGCTCAAATACAGAGTGATTTTTTTTAAATTCAGCTCCAAATAACCGAGAAGCCAGACAGACTGCATATTGATTTAGCACTCGCTTACGAATAAAACCGAATTACACACTCGCACTTCGCACTAGAGATCTTATTCGAAGACACAAAATACTTACATTGTAATATATTCTCAAGAAATCATGAACTCATGTTAATCTGATGCTATTTACAATTTAAAACATTTTCAATTAAATCGTAAGTATACGTTAATGAATCAGTAATCAAAAGATATACTTATATTGCGTGCATTACCAAAAAAAGCCGTGATTTGGGCAAGGAGACGCGACATAATCCGATAATCGTATTAGAGACCGGCGGATGGATTGACTTCGATTGGTTTCCACTATCTCTCTGCAGGCGTAAGGAACAATTACTACACAAAATGGGATTAACGATATCTTTAGACATTTTGTCAACGTACGTCTAAATTAGAAACTGTAGAGATAGTGTAAAAGATTTCTTATAACTTTTTGGCATCACAGACAGCAGCGGGATTAAAATTTAAAACAAAAAAACTTTTATTTTATGCGCCCAGCATGGATTGGAAAGTGAATTAGGCTTTTTATATTATAAGGTGGCAAATGAGCAAGCGGCCACCCAGATTCGCCAAAATAGCTAAGCGACCACTGACAATAGACATCAAGAAATGCAGACGTGTTACCTTCCTTTAATCAATTGAGGAGGGGATGTACTGAAAGAGGATATTTCCCCTTTCTGTGTGTCTCCTTCTCCGCCAATCTCACTTTCTTTTCCAATTATTTTCATGTAAGAAAAGAGTAAGAAAGAATGTGGACTAAGATAAGATCTCCGGCACGCACACTGATCAGGCGAAATGCGGAATTGCTTCCACTTTATGCCTGTCTTCTGTGTGTTTTCATGCAAGCAACTAAACACTACCTAACTCATAGTACCTCAGTACATTTATTTTAATGTAATTTTCGTATATTTATGCGACGATATTAGCTCAATATTGTCGGCTTAAAATAAGCGGAATGGAGATTTACTGCTGTGTACGTATAGGCGGCGTCTCTACTGAGATTGCCAATCGGCTTGCCAAGCAATTCGATGACGTGCAATATAATTTTATACAGATTTTGTATATTTTTGTGATTTACTTATTTAGGCATGTAATATTTCATTAAAGTGACATAAAATAAATAGCAAAGGTACATGAGATATCTTATTACTACTAAAAATATTTTTTATAGTCTAGAACCTAGCTGATTACTTGTGATCTAGATCTGGAATCTAGATCACAAGTAATCAGCTTATAGGGAATTTATAGAAATATTAATAGAATATATTTATAGGAATAGTCCAGACTATTGGTTACAGGTTCCAGACCATAGTTTTAAGGACCGTATGAAAATACATTTAATCAAGTTTAAAGGAATGGTAAATTCCCTATAATTAAATTCCTTTAGGATCGTAGGAAGTGAACCTGATAATGACATTTTAGACAGTTTTATGCGTAACATTGATATATATTTTTCTAGTTAAAAATTAGATAATAAATGTTTTCGAAGTGATTGAGAAATGAGATAAACGCATCTCTTCTATTTTAGCGCGCCCTCGTGATACGCCTACCATTTATAAATCTACATTAATCTGTCTACGAGTTAGTTACACTGGTATACTCGTTATATCAATGTAATAAATATAATTGTTTAACAGTATCTATATATAAGATACTTGTAAACTTATGATTAAAAAGTAAATTAAAAAAAAATAGTTTCTTACTAGACCGACATCTTTGAATTCATAAAAGCTACACGTGCCTCTTTAGATGACATATTCAATACGAAAAGTCGTTGTTTTATGGAAAGTGTTAAGAAAACACCTTAAGTAGATTTATTAAGTTAAGCATTAAGTTGTTTCTTGATGTTGTCAATCCATCATTAAATATACCACTGGATACTCATAACGAGTTATTTTCGATGTGATTTGTATATACCTGCCAGTAGTCCGTCTTCTTGCGGACACTGGCGGCCTCCTCAATGGCCGCCGCGAAGCCCCACGTGCACTCCATCGTCTCGGAGCCTCACTCCACCTGTATAGTCCACCCAACGCTCCAAGTCAGACCACTACTCCAGTCAGATCACCATAGTATCATCGCACCGCGCATATTGCAAACATAATGAATTTTAATTGTAAATATGTAATCAATTTAAATATAGAAACATAGGTGTAATTATTCTATTTCAAGTGCATGTGATGTGACAAATATTAATTGAACGATCGCATTATTAAGATAAGAATAAAACGAAAGCAACACAGTTATCTTTTACCGTAAGCCGAATGGATTCCACGCGTATTTTTTATCAACGCTCATAAATCAGTTGGCATTATTTGTATTAGCATACGTTTACTTTGCCACTTCTTGACTTTGGAACACAAGTGTGTATAGCCAGACAGCAAGGCGACATCCGGTCGCCGGCCTTTGATGAATAATGGCGGGATTCCAGGGTGCGTGATTTTGCGACCGCTGACGACCACGGACGGTCACGCATTTGAATTAACGACACAAAGTGATCTAATCTGAATTTGGATGGATACAAAGGTCGATCGAAAAAAGTACAGATGAGTTGTGAAAGAGTACATGTGTAAGATTGGAGTGAAATTAGATATGACGGCTGATTATGCAAGGAAAAGTAGTAGTTACTGTGTCGACCATTAATTATTAAACACATCAAACTTTTTATAACAAAATTCAAAAAAGATCTTAACTAAGTTTTTGTAACTTTATTTATTTGCTGTGTACTGGTACATTAGTTCTTTTAAAATATTTATTTCGGTTTAATAAATTCTATAGACAGTTGTAGAAATTTTTACGTGACTCTTTTAAGTGTGATATTGTAACCATCGTCAGCTCACTATACGTCCCCACTTAGGCTCAGAGCCTACCCTAAGTTGGGGGTGACAATGATATTGTAACTAAGGGTATATTAATATCAAAAATGTTGATACACTATGATATGAATGTATTGAAAGTACTCAAGGGATACTCGATTTTATAAGATTATCTGATAAGATTGCGACAATTGGAGTAACGTTGCTATGGGAATTATGAATAGTGATAAATTGATTTATCATAGATAACAATAATTATCTATAGCCACGATCAAATCATATTTACAGCTTTAAAATAAATATTCAGCTTCTGTTCAATAGCAAACTGATATTAAGAATAATAAATTCTATATTTAAAATAAAGGTTAAAAATAAATTTTTAACCTTTGAAATAAATAAATTTTTAACTGAAATTAAAATTTCAGTTTTTAACATATTTGTTCCATTAAGTTTGGGCACTTGACTATGCACACTTACTTTTATCATCCACTAAGCCAATTCCCTACAGTGCGATCGGCATATTATGTTCTACTCTTCTACACATCTCTATGAGTATTCTGATGCTGTATTATCTAAATAATGAAAGCTAAATAAGCTTAAAGTAATCAAAATTTTATAGATTTTAGCAAAATGTGTAGGAGAGGTATCACGAAATAAGTAG